TAGTAACATTGTTAGTACAATTGAACCTGTATTGGAAGAATTTGGCATTAGTAGAAGTAAACTAGTAAGTATCATGATGAATAATGGTTTGAATGTTAAGGCAGCTGTCATATAACTTTCAACTAAAATTTCACTACCCAAGCCTGTTGTTAATATTTTTTGTGCAGCATACACATTACAATTAAGTGTTAATGCAAGCTTAGATAAAGTACATGATCTAATTATAAAATGTAAAGCATTAATTAGACTTTTGGGTAAAGAAAAAAATATAAACAATTACAAGAGACACAAATTAGTACTGGCAAAAAAAAATCAGAAACTATTGATGTAATTCAAGATGTAGATACTCGGTGAAATTCCATATATATAGTACTAAAAAGACTTACAAAACTTGAAATGTCAATTAGATGGTTAGTTAATGATCTTAAAAATTCTACAAATATTGAGCATCAGCATAATGGTAGTAATATTTGAAAAAAGTTTCTTTCTAATAATGAGTTTCAAATTATACATAATCTTGTTGACCTTTTGTATCTATTTTACAAAACTACAAAGTTTTTTTCTAGTTCTAATTATGCTACTTTGAGTATTATAGTACTAACAATAAAAGAATTAATTAATTATTTGAATAATATGAATAATAAATTTAATATTATAAATGAAGTAAAAAATACCATTCTTAATAATTTAATAAGTCATTGATCATCACTACCTAAATACAGATTATATGCATCTTTGCTTGATTTCAGGTTTAAAAGATTATTCTTTTGTTCTAATGTAAGTATAACCAAAATTAATTTGATGTGTATAACTGGTTTATATTTATATTAAATTATAATAGTTGTTACAAAGAGAAACTATTGAAGAATTAAAAGGTCATTTTAATAAGCTTAGTAGGCAAGTAAATAGACAAGTTAATCAAACAACAACTACTAATTTAAGTTCAACAGAACAAACAACAACAAAAAAATCTGCTATAAAAAGTTTTTTTTCATTAATTCAAAATAATAATGATAAATCTATTAATCAAAATGAAATTGATAAGTACCTTTCAATTTCTAAGGCAGATTAAACAGAAGAAAATAATTCACTAAATTGGTGGAATAAGTAAAAAAATTAATTTCTTATTCTTTCTATTCTTGCAAGAAAGTATCTTGCGATTCCTGCTACTTTTGTTCTCTCTGAATAGTTGTTTTCAGATGTTGGCAATCATGTTATTTCAAAATGAAGTTGATTGAATTCACATCTTGTAGACAAATTATTGTTTTTAAAATGAAATTTAATATATGTAGAAATTTTCTTCCTGTTAAATAAGTAAAACAGAAAATTATTAGTAGTGTAATAGATTAAAAAAAAAATTTCTTAGTTAAAAAAGATTTTTTAATATATATAACAGATATTTTTTTATTATTCTTTTATTGAATATTATTATACATATATTTATATATTAGAAAGATGAAAAGTAATATAGCTATAGAAATGTATAGAATTACATAAAACTTAAAACATTAAACCTTTGGCTTTAGTAATAAATATTTCTGTTTAGTTTGAATTAAGTTATATGCTTTTATATTACTATTAATCTAAAAGCTCTATTGACTTAAAAGTAACTTTGAAATTTTTAATAAAAATAAAATTTTAAATTTGAAATTCAAAATCAAAAATTTTTTTTTTAATATGTTAATCGATTATCCAATTAGATGACCAATCGATTAATCGATTGATCAATTAGTCAAATAGTCGATTAATTGATTAGTCGATTAATCGACTAATTGACTAATCAACTAATCGATTAGTTGAAAAAAATTAAATAATCGAATAATCAGATAAAATAATCTATCAACTAATCAATTGAAAAATTTTTGTTGATTTGTATTACTAGATAACATATATAGAGAGTTAAGAGCTAGATGATGAAGAATTTTGTTAATTAAATTATATTTTTGGTAAGTATTAAGATTAAACAAATTATTAGAGATAATTTGATTAGTAAATATTTAAATGATTTAATTAAATAATGATGTATTAGCACAAGTATGTCAGTAGAAATGAGAATTAAATAAGTTGCAAAAGAAGCAAATAGTGTCTAAATATTGGCTTGGATAAATAGTATGATATAATGAGTATATTGGCAACTTATTAAGAAGAATTTTTGTTTTAAAAGATTTTAGATAATTAAGTCTAAAGTTGGTAATATTGTATGTTGGTTTTTGATTGTAATTAAAGTAGAGCCAAGTGAATCTCCAATCAATGTCTTAGTTGATGTATAACCACTTACTGTTTTATTTTTGTAATATCCATATAGCTAAGATATGAGTTTTATAGATTTGTTTAATAAAGTGCCTTGTAGGAAGTTTTACATAATGATGTTTCCATTAGAGAATATAATAAAAGTTATAAAGATTTGTATAGTTAAATGAAAAAAGTAGTGACAGTAAATATTGTTTAGTAAGAGAGTCTGCTTGCTTATTGAGATAATTATCTGAATGAGTCTGCATTTTGTGAAAAGTAATTTGTAATTTGTATGATTTAATAATATTTAGAAGAGTGTATCAAATTGGCTATAAATTAAATTTGAGTAATTTGTTATGATGGATTGGCTTAAGTTGAAGATTATTAAATTTTGAGATTACTAATTAAGAGTTCATAAAGATATTAATAATGCAATTTCGAAAAATAGTTAAAATTACAATAATGATTAAAAAAAGTTCTGCTTTGTAAGATGAAAGCCAAAATTTAATTTTAGTAGTAAAGAAATTAATAATTTGATTATTATTATCAACTTGAATTTAACCAATACCTATAGTGCATTGATCAGTACTAATATCAATTATGGATTCATCAGTATAAAAAGATAGTTATTAATAAGAAAGATTATAATGTGAAATAGATATAAGTTTGTTAGTAAATTTACTTGAAGTGAAGATTTTAAAAGCAATTGAATTAATAATAGAAATGTTAGATGAAGAAAGAATGTGAGTTGAATGTTTAATAGCTGTAGAGCAAATAAGATCAAAGTAATTGGCATTGAGGTTAAGTTGATGTTTTGAGTTAGTTTTGCCAAGGAAGTATGCAGAAATAATTACAAAAACTTTAACAATATAGGTTTGATTAATTCTATAAAAATTAAGATGGCATCCTGTACATTGTTTGTAATTAACAGAAAGTAAAAAGTAAAATCTTGTATAGTTTAAGTCTATATTAAAGATCTAATAAGTAATAGAGTAGTGATTGGAAGATAAAAAATATTTTTATATTTCTTTAATAATAATTTTATCATTATAGTATAAGAGTAATCAAAGTTTAGATTTAATAAGTTTTTTGGAATATTAGTTTACTGTTTGTTTATTTGTTTAATAATATATATAAAGAAATTAATATATTATTTTTTATTTAGATTAAATATTGTTACATATATAATATAATAGGTTTGTTTTATTATTGTCTTTGTTGTTGTTAACTAATTATATATTTTAATTTTTTTTTAAATTTAGAATAATTTTCTAATTTATTTAAAATTTTTATTCAGAAGAGAATGACAATTCTAGTATAGTAGTTGGGTTGTTATCTTCCAAGTAGCAGGTCTAAAGTTAAAATCCCATCTACAATGAAATTTGAAAATTATATTTGTATTATGGTAACTGTTTTCTATTGATTGGTTGGCCTTATGCAGCTATAAGCCAGGTATAACAAGTCAGGTTCTACTAACATTAAGAGCTTAGGGCATCTATATAAAATGTAATATTATATGTATATAGAGGAATGTATAACTGGTATTGCATAAGACTTCAGTGCAAATCTATGATAAGACCATCAGATATAAAAGACTAAGAAACTAAGACAACAGAAACCCACTTGTAAATTCCTGAATAAAGAGATAGCATGAACTTTCAATAGTACCATTGGACTGGTTGAAGTTCACAAAACATCTTCATAGGAACTAAAGATTAAACTGAATATTAAATATGTAAAGGAGCATATAACCAACCAGACCACTGGATTTACTAATATAGAAGTATACTATACCAGGCTATCTGGATTGGTAGTCTAAAAGAGACTGCTAGTTCTGAGTTATGGCTAATAGAAAATAATGAAGAAGATGCTAGGAAGATAGGTATTGGGGTTCTAGTAAATTTTATAAGAATAGAAATAGTGTAATATAACAGTTTAAAGTTAGCCCTGACTGCAAGTATTAGGTAACTATAGTGTATTATATAAAACTAGGTTAGCTGTATATAAAATACAAAAGACTCTAATAATGATGCTTCTGAAGATATACTGCATAAAATAAGATATAAAGTTCTAAGGATATAGGTAAACATCTAGATTTTTTTAACTATTTATATAGCAAAAATGATCTAGTAATACAGTAAGAATTGCAGTATAGAAAGTTTAAATAGCCAATACCTCTAGTTGGATTGCAGATATAGCAGCTAATATAGAACTATTAGCAGACTATTTAATTAGACACCAAAAGTGTACATGTAACTAGTTTTACTCCCTAATGTAAGAAGACTCTTTTGAGGTCTTGGCCATAAGTTTCTATATTCTAACTACTAAATAAAAAACCCTAGCTTCAAAAAGAAGCTAGTTTAATAATAATAAAAAAAATTTTATTTATAATTATAAAATAAGAAAACTTTATTACAAAGTGTTTTATTTATATTAGTATATAAATAAAATATTTATATTTTTTTGTATTAAATTTTTTTAAAAAATTTTGTTTACTTAATTAGTTTTATTTTATTTTTGTATATTTGTTTCTATCTATTCTAAAAATAAAAATTAATAAAGAAAATAATTATAATAATATTATTTTTTAAAATAAAAATTTTTTTATTTATAAATAAATTAGAATGTATATAACAAAAATACAAACTAAACTTTTTTAAAAATTTTATATTTTTAATATTTTTAATTTAATAAAACTTAGTAAATAAAAATTTTAAAAATTTAATTATAACAATAAATTTATTTAATAATACTAAAATATATTTTAAAAATATAAAATAATAATTAAATATAAATAAAAAATAAATCATTATTATTTATAGTATTTTGAAAAATTAAAAAATATTAAAATTTTAATTTAGTAATAAACTATTAAATAAACTATTTTATTTTATTAAAAAATAATATATAAATATTTTTAAAATTTTTTATATTAGTTTTTAGCAAAAAAATTTTTTTATAATATAAAATAAAAAATAATATTTTGATTAGTTAAGTTTTATAATTAATATCATATAATATAATAATCAGAATCAAACAATTTTGATACTATTTGAATTGTTTTATTAAGTCAAATTAAATGATATTAAAATTATTGTTTTTATCACTAAATTATAAAATATTGCAATTTAAAATAAAAATTAAAAAATTATAATGTAATGATCAATTCTAATGCATATGTGATATCTTATAATTTAATGATCTGAATTGAATAACTTTAACATCATTCAATTCATCTTAATGCACAAATCAAATAGTATCAAAATCATTCAATTCAGGTCAATTAACTATTAATTTGTAAAAAGTTAAAAAAAATTGACTTTAACATACTATTAATAAAATTTTTATTAAATAAATTGACCTTCATTATTAAGACAATTTTGTTAGTTTAATAAATTATCTTTAAATTTTTATAAAAATTGGATAATTTTTTACTAATTAATTTTTATAAAATATGTTTTTGTACTAAAAGGTTGTATTGTGATGCCAAAATATTTTTTACAAATGTCAATTAATAAAAAATTATCTGATTTTTATGAAATTTTTGAAATAAGTAGTATTAATTACGGTGAACAAAATTGTCTTAATAATGAAGATGGATTTACTTAATAAAAAAATCTGTAATTAACATGTCACGATCATTTTTTATTAAAATTTATAAATAAAAAAATGGTATTTTATTTAAACAATGGTATCTCAGCTCGACGAGACGAATCGAATGGTAATAAAATCATCCGATTCTGATCACTAGATCATGAGATATCACAAGTGCGCCACAATTGGTCCTGCGTCATAATACCCTTTTTTACCTTATATTAAAATAATACTTTAATAAAAAAAATTATTAATATCTAATTCAGTTGAATATATTTTATTTTTAAAATAAAATAACATATTTTCTTATGTTTCTACTTTTGAAAAATATCAAATAATCTTTTTTTAAGATTTTATTTTATATTTTAATATTCTATTTTTTTTTATTTCAATTAATTATTTTATCTTTTTTATATAAATAAGAATATAAAAATAAGTTCAAACATTTGAAAATATTTAATATTTTTTAAAAATAATTGAACTATAAAATAAAATCTAAATATTATAATATATAATTAGTTTTTTCTCAAAATAAAAAGATCCAATGAGTGACGAAAAAGGAAAACCTATAAAATCATTTCACATACTACGTATGAGAAATGATTTACAGGTTTTCCTTTTTCATCACTCCAATTCATCTAGAATATTTTAAAAAAATTTCACAAGTTAGAAAATATCAATATCTGCACATAAACCAAATATGACTAAGTTGTATACGAATACCAGTATTATAACAAGTGTTTAAATATTGAAAAAATAAAGTAATAAAACAAAATTTAAAATAAAAAAGATTAACCATAGTTGGTTAATTATTGTGTGTTATATGACTAATCATGAAATAAACGCACGCTTATGCAGGTGCAACTGGATATTTAGTAATATTTGGATTAAAATCCGATGCAGACTTTTACTAATTAAATAATTCCGGTTCCAAACTCTAATTATGAATAATGTATCGGGAATGTGTTGTAAAAAAAAAAAAAAAATCAAATAATAACGCAATAGGGTATTTAAAGAAGAGACTATTATACTGATACTTAGAAAGTACTTTACGGAAACTTGGATTTATTAATGCACAGTAACTGCGTAGTAACTGTATAATAACTATATAAAAATTATTAAACTTAATAGTAATGACATAGTTACCACATAGTTACTATGTAGTTACTGCGTATTAAGATATTCAAGTTTCTGTATAGTAACTATAAATTGATTATTATATTTAATGAAGTAAATTATAAGCTTTAATAACCAATAGAACATAAATACATACCACTGCATTACTGTAATGTAAGAAAATTTACACTGTACGATACCATCTAGTCCGATTGATAAATCTAGTTAAAAAAAGCTTAAGGTTGAGATTAGTTAGTTATTATTATGAAATTATATAACGAATCAAAACACAGAACTTTACTTACATACGTGTACATTTACGTGTCAGGAATAGAGTAAGTCCCTAGAATGATTAACGAAATGAACTGCAGTAATATCACATAAAAAAAAAAAGGTGTATGTACATACCGTTAACCCAATTTCCGGTAAGCACTTTGTATTTTCGATTATATAATTAAAATATCGTTAAAGTACAGACCTATTGAATATATAATTAGAGCACAGACCACTTGATATATAATTAGGGCACAGGCCACTTGAATATATCCAAATAATAAATATAAGTAAGTCGTGTAACGGAATTTCTGATATCAAAAATCGTCAACATTAATTAGACACATGCTGATACGTATGTACTTACTATAATTGAATAATGAATAAAAATGAAATGATATGTAGCAATATAAACAATGCGCATTTGTATATTGCATTAATCCAGATAAATTATAGTTTCGACAAATAGAATCTTTCAAAGAATATGAGTTAATAAAATCTGTAAATTTTTGTAAATTTTTGTAAATGTTTGTAAATTTTGTAATTATTGTGTATGCAAATTAAGTTCTTTATTTTACAGTGATAAAAGGTGAACTTTCTAATTTCAATCTCTTGTAATGCATGTAATGCATGAATATTTGACAAATATAAAAAATTTATCCAAAAAAAAAAAAAACCAAAAAAAAAAATTTACAATAAACCAACTAATAAAAGAATATATGTGTATATGGACCTTTTTTTTTACCCTACTTTTTGTAAATCTAGTTAATAGCATAAAATTGATGTGTTATGATTGTCTTGATGAATAAATCATTCAAGTATAAAGTGCGATAGTTCATTAATTACTAAGATCTAAAGATGATAATGACCCACCATTATTGCTGTCAATGTTCTCAACATCCGTTTTCTTCGGTTTCGACGAACAACATACTACTTTTGCCAAAATCTTATATAGTCATCGAGAATTTTTTTGAGATTGTTTATGAGCATTTTGACGTTGGATCATCACGGTATTTGGGTGAGAAATAAAATTTATAGTGCTCACATTAACAGAATTTTTTTCCTTTTTTCTAGATTTTTGATGATTTGATTGTTGTTTTGATTTTGCGCGTATAAGTTGTTGTTGAGTGTGCATGTAAAGTCTATAAGCGTAATCGTTTTTTGCGGCCGCTATCATCGAGTCAGTAGGTTCATTTTTTGAAGAGTTAAAGCGTTGACTGGTTTCCATTTGTTAAGAAATTGTTTTTTAAAACAGATTAAGAAATAAGTAAAATTATTAATATAATAAAATAGAGACTTTTTTTTAATTTCTGACAAAAAAAACAAACATACGTACGTAAATACTCTATTTATAATAATCATCTAACTAATGATTTTCCAAAATAGGAATTAATTCATCATAACGCATACTAAAATTGCATAATATTGCATAATACTGCGTAAGCCTCAGTGAAATTAAATTAGTTTGATCGATCTTTGCGTCATAACTGTGATAATTTATCATTAACATCTGAATTTAGAAATAACATCATTGATGACGATTTGTTCATACCATTTACCATAATAGAAGAAACCGTTCAAAAATACTACTCCAAACCCATTGTTTTCTTTAATTTCTAATAATGCGGAGCAAAGATTATCACTTAGTACTTGTCTATTAAATTATATTTGAAAACTAATTTATCTTTTTTACCATTTCAACTTGTCAACGAATTTAATGTTTAAGATGATGCAAGTATCTTTTTTTTTATACATGCATCAAAATTTAATCTTTTATCTTATCGTAATTCTACATAATTTTTGAATAATCAAATATTTATGTAAAATTACGTAAATTTTTACTTTTTACAGGTATTCCAATACAGTACGTATACAGTATAATCAGGGTTTTTTTGTTTTTGTTAATCTAATATAGCAAAACTATTTTCATTATGCGAGAATAGAATGATTTATTTTACGATTATATATATATTAAATAAATTTCTCTTTTTATTTTCTTAATCGTCTCCCTTTGTCTTTTTTTATCTACAATCTTAATTTAAGCTTTTCAAAATGACGTATTTACATATCAAAAAAGTTCTTAATGATTTTCTTTATTTTCGGCTTGACTTTCCAAATCATTGTTCTTGAAAACCGGTCATATTTACTGAATACCGGACATACGGATGTTCTATCGTCATTATTACGATTTATTGCTTACAGTTTTTACTATTTATATCATTGCTACTATTTGATGATATTTATACGTATTATGTTTACACATGTAAACTTATTTCAAGCTCTGATGTAACATTGTCATAGATAATTTCCTTTTCTATATACTCGTGCTTTAATTGTCGATCTTTTAATTATTAATAATGCTAATCAATTCTTATTTCGGGATACACTAACTCTAAAAGCTAGGTAAGTTTGGTACAATTTTGTTAAATATACAGATTAGATTAATTAAAAGATCAGATACTTGTCATTTTCGGTTTTGTCTTACCTATGTTCAGTTTAGATTATTTTCCTTACCCAATCGATTTTTTTTATTTTTAAAGACCCTGCAGTTATATTTGGTCTGCCCTCTGTAAACATTCACTAACTTTTTCGGATCTATATATTATCATTGCAAATTTTATTCTTAATAACTGACACGAGGTATTATGTTTACTAAACTAGCAAATTACAATTAACACACTACTTTTTCTATACTTTTTCTAGTAAGCGATTACCATACGTACGTGCGTATTAGAGGTGCTGGTGAATCGTCCCAGTGATGTTACGACTTAATCCGTATCTAGCTAAAGTTTACGGCAATCACTGGGACGATTCTCTTGTATCTCTGATGTGTACATACGTACTGTACATACGTAGGTATGTTTGACTTACAGTGTCCTAAGGAATAAATCCTATAAGTACATATGTCATAAGTGGAAACGGTTTCAGAGTTTCCTAGTTAAATTAGGGTTAAGGTATGGGTTTACATATGATAAATTCAACCCTAATATGTTACAACATATGTATTTCTTAAGATCCCAGTAAATCACAAGGTCCCACGTCTCTGACACGTACGAATGATACAGCAGAAACTCAAGTTATTAGGATAAGTCTTACCATAATTATATTTTATTTTCATTTCATAATTTCTTAAATCTAACCGTTGAACTACAACATTTATTGTGCCCCTAATATTTAATAAATGAAAATTCTTCTAATTAAATATTGAGTTCGAAAACAAATAAATCAATCGATGAATCTTTACTATAAGTATTTAAAAAAAAATTTCTTGATATGTTATGCGACTTTTTACTAAATCTTTTTCTCGTGTAATTTAAAAGGTTAAAAAATTTAAGTATTTAAAAAAGTTGCAAACACCAAAGATTTTGAAAAAATACTTACGGAAGAGAAATTGTTGAAATAAGATTAGTTATAATTTAAACAAAAAAAATTGGACGAGGTCAATTTTTTAATGTCTTTAAAAGAAAAAAATTTAACTCTTTTATGACGTTAATTACTGTACATTATAGGTTATATGATTTATAACTAATCAATATTTCTCTTTTGTCATATTTTACGTCATTTATTAAAAGTTATGCAACTAATTGTAATTATCGTTATTTTTACGATACACAATGGGAATTATACGCCGTCACATAACAAATGTAACTTACGTCATAATTAAAGTATATCATAACTGTGTACAAAGTTTCGTTCCGGACTATCATGTAAACGCAAAATTAACCTTTATTATTGTTTGTACTAAATTAAAATTATAATAAATTTGTCGAATAATTATTAGTATCAGGCTGTAAAGGGAATATGATCATCTGATCATCACAATTCTGCTGTAAATTACTGATTAATTAAAACAATTCCGACGTACGTGCGTAAATTAGTCATATCGTAAAATTATATGATCTTGTCATTTGATTTTACTAATTGAACTTGTGATATAACTCATCATGACATTGTCATGGCCCAAACTACTGACTTATGTATCCGAGTACGTATTTATAATGATTAGAAATGTACCTGGGTATTCCTGAGTATTCTTTTCTTTGCTAATATTTAAAGTTTTTTTTTTACTTACAAGAGTATTTCTCAAGACATATAAGTACTGCTTTTTGGAGTACATAAGAGAAATTTTTGCCCCCTCTGGTACAAATCATAGGGGTATACAAGACAGCAATTTACGGCAAGGTTAGGTAATTTATAGAGATGCAAACGGGACGGGACTTAAAGTATTGGGATTTGCCGTAACGTAACTGAGTCATAACTAGTTGTAACTTTTTTGCTTTAAGTTACGGCGTGCCGTAATGTGCATGTGTGGCCAAGGGAAACCCTCGATGTAAACTTTTATAGTTTATTATTCAGCGAACTTAACCTCCGGTGAATGATATGCATTACATAATTGAATCACATGTATAACTAATTTCTAGATGTTTCGATAACAAACTATATGAGGAAGAACTAAAAATCATCAGTGATTCATCATTGATGACAGGTTTCTAGTACAAAAGAAAATATCAATACGACAATTGATTGTATAATCAGAATACACTAGAAAACGGTCATCACTGATGAATCGCTGATGATTTTCATGGGCTAAGTTTGCCAAATAATAAATTATAAAAGTTTACATCGAGGTTTTCCCTTGGTCACACTCATATGTCGTAACATGCCATAACATAATTTTATATGTCGAAACTTGCAGTAATTTGTCGTAACTTGTTATATTAATATCATCTTTTTTAGGCTGATTAGACAGAAAATTCTCTTCTTCGGATGAGTTATTTTAACTATCAACTTCTTGAGATGTAATATTTTCATTTCGCTCTTGGAATGTTTTAATAATTGTCGAAAGTAGAAGGCTGACACGCGAGAAGTTGATGTTATAATTTAATTTAGATAATGAGAAGCTATTATTATTTAGAACCTAATCGTCTTTGTTCATATTCATTATAAAGGTTTCCGATTAATCATCAAAATAATTAGTAAATACTATTACAAAATGACAAAATGACAAAAAATGATTATTAATCGGAGGATTCTCAAATTTCCAAACTCCATATTGTTAGATATAATTATTGATTGTAATATGTACTATTTATTTTTTGCGCAGGCAGGAATTATATGATGTCATGACGGAGTTCTCCGACTCAAATATCCTTAGTCAGTACAACAAAAAAAAATAACCATAAAAAGATAATTGCAATCCTAATTTTTGTTTTAATAACATAATCATATTAAAGGAATTTAAAAAACTTTTTGTTTTTTTTTACTTTGAAGTGGCAATCTTGCCTGTATGTCTTTTATTAAGTAACATATATGATTACATCATTATATACAAAGTTTATCAATGAAGCTACAATTAGCCACACATACAACTTTAGTCATTGTCTATTTAAAGACTCCACCTACTAATTGTCATACCTGAAACCCACCTGTGGGTTTCCTATTTAAAGTTTCTGATTTTCAACACTATTGCATATATATGCAACCTTTACATTACTATTGTGTTGACATATTAGGTTAAGGTTACCTGATTATTATTTATATCAAGGTATCACCTTATTGGATGTTACTAAGTATCCATAGCCCTCAATTCACCCTTGATGCAAGCTTACTAAGTTGGTATCAAGATTACTATTTAGATCTAACTTAGTGTAACCTATATCTACTAAACTGGTTTTAATGTCAGAGGTGTTTGAATTTCAGTAAGTCCATTCCTTTCCATAGTTTCCTTTTATGTTCACCATATCATCTACTAGTGCACCTTCTTTCCATTTCTGGTATGTTTATTGTTTTTCTTGCATCGAGTACTAACTCTTCATATTGGGAAACTTCTTTTCAGAAACTTTCTTATACACTGATCTTCTATTCACATAGACTTAGTTATAGGGTTTTATATACATTCATATGTTTCTATAAATTACAGAGTTTTTGCCTCCAGTTAGAATTGAACTATTGATTTTGTCTGTATAAAAAGGGGCATCTAGACCACTAGACTATAGAACCTTATTCTCAAAAAACTTCGTCTTTAATTATAATGATACAAATTTCTTTGTTCTAAATAACTATTATATTCTATCAAGAATTTTAAGCTCTAGTACTGTTGAATTTTAAAACTTTCATCAAGGATAAAACCATTATGCAAACTAAAAGATTATCTTCAAATCTTATATAAAAACTTAAAAGTTCACTTAGTGAAATAACAAAAAATAAAAGAAAATAATAAGCAACTTC